GAACCGTGACACCAAAGTATCGAACCGAAACGTGAATTTTGTGTATCGTTGCACCCCTACTAAATATGAGAGCTGTGTTTGTTATGGGGGAGGGGGGGGAGTAAATTAATAATTTAAAGAAATAGTTCGTTAATCCATTTTGGCACTCGTGACCCACCGCAGTTATCATTTCGGAATGTAGTTCACCTCTTCGTCCAGCAGAGGCCGCAAAGCCCGCGCTTTTACGGTTCATGTTATTGTTTCACTGATTTTGGCTGAGCTGGCAGTAAAGTTACCTTCACTCTCATTAGCGTAACCGTTGTTAGCCAGCCGCACACGCTCTCGTTTTCACTGTATACTCCGTTAACAGGCAGCTTAAACTAGTCGACACACTTAATGTTTACAGTTGAGTGGATCCAACATGGACGAGCAGGACACTGCGGCGATCCTACACGGAGATGTCCTCAGTGACACAGCGGAGGAACCACAGCTCGACGTAAACAAAGAGGAGCCTGGTGTACCGTCCACCGACGTCGTACGACCGCCTGTTACATGCTCGCTGCCGGTGTCTGTGGAGCCGGTGTTGTTCCTGTCCATGTTCTCCCTGGCCCTGCAGGCACCTCTGTCGACCCAGTACCTGTGGGACCGCATAAGCGAAGACCTCGGCTACAACGGCTCCAAGAGGTCGGAGTGCGGCAACAGCTCAGCGCCCCCCGACCCGCTTCAGAAGGTAGTCCGGTCACCCTGAAATGTACTGCTGCTGCTGTCCACGTCTTTTCTGCGTGGGAAAAGCATTTGAATTACCCTTTAATTTAAAAACCATGTATGCCGTTACAAATAAAGGCTTTTCAACGTGAGTTTAATACATTGTGAAGTATTTTTATAACAGGAAAAGCACAAAAACATCTTTCATTAATATTACGTTACATGTTTATAACCTTAAAAATTCAATGTATTTTAACCCTTTTCTTCAGGCTCTATAATGGCGGAAAACCTAAAGGGGTTGTAGACACTATAACACTGTTGATTGATTTTATTAATGAAGCCATGCATAAAACAATATGTCCACCCCCAATAGGTTTAGACTAGTCCCAAGTAGCACCACAGCTTACAAGCACTAAAGAAGTAACCTGACAAAGACCACGGAGAAATGTGTGATTTAGTCCACAGAAGGACTGTGGTACCCTGTTTACCCTCATTTTTTTGCTACTTGGAATATTTATGCAGGCTTTAAAAAAAACATTTATACTTAATATCTTGTATATAAAAAAGCTGAAAAACTTCTCACTTAATTTATTATATTTATTTAATTTCGCTGCACACCATGGGTCAGGGAAACATGGCATTTCAATCCTGTGTATACCCGGGACATATTGCAGAATGGACAATAAATCTGACTTTGACTCTCATCTCATATCATGACTCACTAATCCAATATTCTGTTGAACAGCCAGCAAACCTGCAGCATTATTTATTATTCATCACAAGTGAGACACAAAGTAATGCTAACATGCTAGATTTACAGTTAAACTAACTGGTTCAGTAGGAGAGGCCATCCCACTTTGTTGATTTCTTCAGGTTACATAGTTACCCTTAACAAACAACAAAATGAAAACACTTATTGAAGAAACTGCATGCAAAGCAAGCCATTCCTGTATCATTTTTTTTTACCTGTTCTAACAAGTAAAGCACGCTCATATAGTTATAAGCATCACCAAAAGGGCCATTTTTTATCACGCAAGCCCTTTAAAGATATGCAAGACCTCCTGTCAAGTGCTTACAATTTGGAGAAAACAAAAGCAATGCACAAACTAATACACACATAAAGACATGCAGATGTGTTTTAAAGGCTTTTTTTTCTAAGTAAATTGATCATCAGCACCTGAATGGCTGCAGTCAATGTGTAGTCATTTAAGGAAAAAAGGAGTCGTAAGCCTTGAACCTACAAGCAGTTCAACAATGAGGAACAGCAGTCACATGCTGAAAATGGGAAAAAGGAATACAATCTACACGCTCTGCTAAAAAAGGTGAAGCAAAACTAGTGTTTGGGCAGATCAGACGCAATGATGTATGGGTCTAATTACGCTGGTGCACAGACAGAGTTACACCTGGGATGCAGCTAAGAAACAAAAAGTAGAAACACAGCATCTATTAAAAAATCTTCTCCACCTCTTCGCTGATCACTGAGATTGATTGTTGTTAAATGTGTCTTTTTCAGGAGGTGGAAACCTTGACAGCACACTGGAACCTGTACATCAGTCTGGGGGGCTTTTCTGTCGGGCTCTTGGTTGTGCCTCTCCTGGGCTCTTGGAGTGACCTCGCTGGTCGCAGACGAGTCCTCATCCTCCCTAACCTTGGCCTGGCCCTGCAGACGATCGTGTACCTTGTGGTGATGTATCTCAAGCTGCCCGTGGTCTACTTTCTAGTGGGACGGCTGCTTAGCGGCCTGTCGGGTGATTTTAATGCCGTCCTGGCAGGCTGCTTTGCCTATGTGGCAGACATCAGTGACAGGCGCTCTCGCACCTTCAGGGTGGCAATCCTAGAGGCGTGTCTGGGCCTGTCAGGGATGCTAGCCAGCATCATTGGAGGACAGTGGCGGCGGGCTCAAGGGTAAGGAATGTGTGTTAAAAGGTTTGTTCACACTGCTCTAATATATATCTAAATCAACCATATAAGCTTTACCTCTCTATTTCTGTGCTTTGTTTAGTTACATCAACCCGTTCTGGCTCGTGCTGGCCACCAACTTGGTGTCAGCTCTGTATGCCTTCCTCTTTGTCCGTGAGTCTGTGGTGCCAGACCCGAGTGCTAAGCTCCTCACTACTCGACACCATAAAGCTGTCTGGCACCTCTACTCATCAGGAGGCAGCAGCAGTGAGGCTGGAGGACAATTTCACAGATGCAAGCTGTGGCTTTACACGCTGTGCTTCTTTCTGGTGGTGACTGTTCACTTTGGCTCCAGAGAACTGTACGTGTTGTACGAGCTGAGCTCGCCTCTGTGCTGGGGCCCAGACTTTATTGGCTACGGATCAGCAGCTCACCACCTGGGCTACCTGAGCAGTCTGGCGGGGATAAAGATCATGCAGCGCTGCATGGAGGACTCCTGGGTGGCTCTTGTGGGTCTTGCCTCCAACATTGTTGGTCTGGTGGTCTTTTCTGTGGCTAACAGCACTCAGCTCATGTTTACAGGTGAGAGGTGTCGGAGCACATTCATAACCTCCAGATGGTTTATAAACCGATTGTAAAAAGTCAATCTGAATGTACTATGTGAGGAAAAATGTGAGGTAGGATAAATTAAGTGAAGATGACTTTTACTATTGTAGTACTTTACCATGATTAGGTGTTTTCTCTCTTCTATTATGTGTAATGGAATGCGGCCTCTGCCCAAGAAAAAGTCTTGTCTGTGTTAAGACTTACAATATATATTGGTGTCAATTTAATTTGGAGTTAAATGTCACTGCAGCATGGTGGCACAGTGGTTAGCACTGTTGCTTCACAGCAAGAAGTTCAACTTGGCTACCTGGCCGGGAGCTTTCTGTGTGGAGTTTGCAGTTTGCATGTTCTCCCCGTGTCTGTATGGGTTCTCTCCGGTACTCTGGCTTCCTCCCACAGTCCAAAGACATGCAGTTGGGTTAATTGGTGAATCTAAATTGCCCATAGGTGTGAATGGCTGTCTATCTCCCTATCTTAGGCTGGGAACCTGTCCAGGGTGCACCCTGCATGTCGCCCTATGTTAGTTGGGATAAGCTCCAGCCTCCCTTTAGACCTTTTCAAGGATAAGTGAATGGATGAATGTCTGCTTGTTACTTTGATTATCTTCCTGTATTTGTGCTTTTCAAATCCTTTTACCCTATGTTATTGTTATTTTTAAAGCAAATTTTAAACATAATGACATGTCAGTGAACAAAAGGCCGCTGATTGTAGCCTTGTACTCAGGGTTGTCAGCCCTGAGTACAAGGCTACAATAAACTGTCTCTGATTGTAACCTCTAGAAATAATTAACACAGTTTATTCACCCGCTCTGGATTATTTCATGGATATTAAACAATTACACGCATATAAACGTAAAAATCTGTTTTGGTTTTGGGGTTTTTTGTCCCCAGGTTATGGTCTCTGTTTGCTCTTCATGACATCGACACCTGTGCTGAGGTCCAAGCTGTCCAAGTTGGTGGAGCCGTCAGAGCAGGGTCAGCCCGTGATCGTGTACAAGTGTTACACATTTAAAACCAAAGTTGTGCAGATTGTGTGAGAGAGAGCTCAGTGTGTCAGCTGTGCAGTGGTGGAGCCAGTGAACTAATTAGATCAGCAGCACATTTGAAGCACATGTTCCCTTGTCACGCGGGACAGCTTGTGCTCTGCAGGTTGTATGTGTAATTGTGTTACTGGGTGTGTGTGTGCTTTTTCTTAGGTGCCCTGTTTGCATCTGTTGCCTGTGTGGAGAGCTTGTGTTATCTGGTGGGCAGTGGCGTTTTCAACTCCCTCTACCCAGCAACCCTGCACTTCATGAAGGGATTCCCTTTCCTCTTTGCTGCTATCATCCTCTTCATCCCAGCTGGAATAATAGGGTGAGTCTGTTCATGCCTGTGTGACTGGCTTTAGTCTTATGGGCTGTAAACAACCAGACAAATGTCATTACTGACCATCTCCATGTCTGTATTTCTAGGACTCTGCAGTGTTTGGAACAAAGGAGAGACCAGAGAGATGCCACAGTGTCCTGACCTGCAGAGAGGTGGAGGGCAGGATCACAAAAGAGAGTGCAGGTTCATCCTGGTGTTAGTCTGAAAGGTGAGCAGAGGCATCCGTCGTGTCTGCAGTTTTATTCGGTCACCCAGGGATGGGATATTTCCATCTTGTTACACCAGAAAGAATAAGTAAGCGATGAAGAAACGACATCCTGACTGACAGTTCTGCCAAACCCAAAAATGTGTCTTTATAATTAAAATTTGATGTAATTTTTTAATATCATGAGCTATTGTAGAGCACCGGAGATCATGACACTGCAGTGTCGTCACAGATTCTATGTAACTCGTCAACAAAAACAAAGAAGTTATTTTGTAAATTGCTGCTTTCTGATTTTGTCCAAGTGCTCACTAATACAAATATCTGATCAGCTGATCACATGGCAGCACCTCGTGCATAATAAGTGGAACCTTGAAGCGGATGTGCTACAGCAGCAGAAGACCACACACACTCCTGTTAACTAACTCCTGTTAGTTAAAACCGTGAATTGTTGTATATCTCCAGGTGTCACTGATTTAAGCCATATGTAGAATCAATCAGGAATGTTTTCCATTGTATGAATGTTAATCATTTTTATCTAAATGACTGCTTCTGCATTACACGCTGATCTGTGAAGTAATGCAGAAGCCGTGCACACAGTGTCACGTCCTAGTTGCACAATGAAGGAACAGGAGCTGTCGAATCAGCTTTAAATGCACAAAGGGAAGTTACTTGGCTGAGTGACGTTTCCACTGACCTACCATTAACTGATTAGCAAGATTCGCGTGATCATGTGACCAAAGCCATCCTTAGAAAACATACAGTGTGCTACAACTGTCTGAGAAACCTGTCTGTTCTTCTATAATTTCCAATATTTAGCAATCTGAATACATTTTAGAGTACATTTTTTTAAGTGATAAAATAAGTGATGTTTGTGTTTTAACTTTTAACATTTTATGTTTTTTCTAAAATTACAAAATGCAATTAAATTATGGTTTTGCATTTCCAGTTCTGTCAACAGAGTGATCTGTTATAATATAAAGTGTGATAATTTAATGATTTCAAACCCCAAAAATCTTGTTAATCGAGTTACATAATTTTTTTAATAAACTTGATTAACACATCTGGATGACTGCTTTTGTTGGTTTTTACAGGTGTACATTTATGCTTCATGAATACAGGACAGGTGTGTCAGATTGCTGTATTTAATTATTTATTTATTTTCTGAACAAGGATACACTTTGGGGCAGTACAGTGGTGTGGTGGTTAGCACTGTTGCCTCACAGCAAGATTGTCCTGGGTTTGAATCCACCGGCTGTTTGGGGCCTCTCTGTTCTCCAATGTCTGTGGGGATTCCCTCCGGTACTATAGCTTCCTCCCACAGTCCAAAGGCACGCATGGGGTTAGGTTAATGGGTCATTCTAAACTGGCTGTAGGTATGATCATCTGTCTCTGTGTGTCAGACCTGCGATAGCTAGAGTACTAGAGTCCAGGGTGTATCTCTCACCCTGTGACAGCTGGGTGAAACAGCCCACCCACTCCCAAAACCCTGACTGGATAAGCAGAAGATGGATGGGTGATACATTTTCAGTTCAAAAGCAGACATATAACTATTGGACAGACTGTGGTGAAGTAAGTCTTATGTCAGCCGTAGTAATGGATTACACAGTGTGGTAATTCACAATTACACCGTAAAACAGAACAGATATTGAGGTCCTTTTTACCCACTTTTATTACAGAACAGTATGTTTAACGCTACATGGAGTTATTCCCTCTACACATATTTCACTTGTTTATGGTTAAATTTGGGGCTTAGATTAAACTCACAGTAGTCACTCATCCTAAACAAATCAGCAAGTCTGCCGAGGAAGATTTCTTCTATCACAACCCAAACATGAAAACGGGAGAAATGTTGGTAAAGTCAGAGACCTGCTTTGGTCCATTTGATGTACACAGGTTAAAAAAAAACGACGACTGCATATAGAGGAGCTTTGATGAACACTGATGTGTTAGCAGTGATAATGTTGCTGGGTGTCCATGTCAGCTGGTCTATCACAGTTATTTTCCTGAGATACAGAAGGCGCTTACTGTACCTGATTACACATATACAGCACTGACTAACATTAAAGGCTTAGAGTTTTTATATACAATCCCCTTATCAGTTGTATTTATTGTTAATAATTAAGTGTGTGCATATCAGGTATTCCGGTCAGCAAGTAATCTAAACATCCGGATTCATTTCACATGCATTAGGTCAGAGCAGGGAAAGCTGCCAGACTATTCACTGTAGGTTATGTGGAATTTTGGCATCATGGATAGTTATTATAGCTGAAATCGGACTGTGTTTATCTCAGTTTATTTCTTCTGCTCTTTGGAGCCGTCTGAGCGGTCGACTTGGTCTTGGGGTCCTTTCAGAAAGCGCAGGATCTTCTCGATCGTAGCCTCCTGATATTCGTGGGACCACCTATGTGAAGAGACGTCAGCAGGCATTAGATGATGTCGATTCAGGGAAAACAGTTCCCTCTAATTGGAATTTTTACACATCTGCACTAAAGTGACTGAAATATTCATGAGAGAAATATGAGTGCTATTGGGAGATTGTAATAAATGCAGTACAAATGGAACAAACAGCTGTGGTTTAGACCTGGTGGGAAAACAGTTTCCCCGCACATCACAACAGGACTGTGTCCACTGTCCAATCGGAGCACAGTATGCAGGGACTCACTTGATGCCGTTGAAGTTGAGAATGGCTCTCATGTCTTCTGGCAGGGACATGGGGTCAGGCCATGCAAAGTTATCTGTGACAGGAACTATGTTCTTCTTACCAGCCAGGGCCGTGACGATCTCCTGCAAGATGAATTGAATTGGAGATAATCTATCTGAATTTCACTCCCCAATGGCAGCAGCTTCCCTCATAAGGGTAAAACTGCCTACCACAACACAAACACTGCTCAGGAACAGTGTGAGCAACACGGCAAAGAGCCCGACACAAGAATCATGCTTTCTCATAATAACATGCATCCTAACCATGTTATTATGAACCTTTATGTACGCTTGGTTAACCTCTAACCAAGGATAGGATGTCCTAGAGCAAGTCCAACCCCACAAATCACAGGGAGCAGACACCACAGGACCCCTCCAAGGGTCCCATGTCCTGTTGAATTACGGTATTTAATGGCATAATATTAGGCAGAGTGGGATATCCGTTAATTCGGTTTTTAGTCATGATATTTTATTAAAACCAGCCATCATGAATTTAAGTGGGTGTAAATGGAACTATAAACCTATTCATGAGTTTTAGGAGAGTTGTGTTCCACTGAAAATACAAAAACACTCCAAAAATGACTCCACAGAACAAACTTTAAATGCAAGCTCACAAATCTGATCTGATGTAATCCAATTGCCTCATGAACAGAACTACTGTGGAATATCTCGAGAAGAGTTCGAGGTGCAGTGATCTGACATTTTTCAGCAGAAATTAGACATAATTAGCCCTGACATTTCAACCATCGTGTGCAGGAAATGGAAAACTGACCTTATGCACCCAGTCCTTCATGGCTGTGTCTCCCATACACTTGTCGAGTGCACTGGCAGACAGGACCAGGATGAAGTTACGTGCTCTCTGCACACTCTGAATGAGTTTGTCCTCAAATTTACCAGCCTCCAGCTTCTCCACATCTATGAAGACGCTGTATCCTCGAACCTGCAGGTGCACCTTCAATAGGCTGGGAGCAAAACAAGATGAGCAGGATTTAATTTTAACCTTATCTGATCTCACTCTTCATCCTAAATGACCTTCTGCACAAAATCTTCTCCAGTTCTAACCTGGCCAGCTGGGAGCCCGTGGTTCGTCTGTAGCTGATGAAGACGTCAGGCCCTGAAGGCTGTGCATCGGTGTGGCTCAGTTTTAAGGGCCCGCGGCTGGCAGACAGTATCTTTGCTCTGTGGACGCCATTCTCAATGTGGCAGTCGTGCTGGAGCTGCTTATCGGTCAGGCTCTGGATGTTGTGACGGTCCACGCCTGACTGGACTAGGCCGTAGGTGTACTGACGAAAACGGGGGTCCACCTCGCTTAACCAGTCGGCCATGTTGTTGGGGTCACATGTGGAGTAATTGGCGTAAGTCTTCAGCACACGCAAGTCTCTCAAAAACCTGGATGATCAGACAAATTAGAGGGGTTTTTTTTTTTTTTTCAAGACAAATAAACGCGGGTTCAAATATTATTCACCACTTGCCTCTTGCGAGTAAGGTTGGTAGTCATGCTCAAATCACAGCTCAAATCTTCATCTGTGATGTTCAGAAGGAGGTCTCCATCCACCTGGAGTTCCTACGTAATAACATCACCAAACACATCAGGCCAGTTTAGTCTGATTTTATTTATAAAGCATGTTTACAACAACAAAGTCGGCCAGCACACTGTACGTGAAAATGAGGGTTACACAACATGATAAAAGATACACCACACGCACACACCATTGCCCACACACCTCAATAAGTATATCTGAAGAATCACAAATATACTAGAGGCAATAAAGTACCTAAATACCTACAATTTTCACTCTAGGATAAAAGCCAAGGAATGAAAATGAGTTTTAAGCCTTACTTTAAAAATGTACAAGGTGGGGGGCAGTCTAATTGGCAGTCCAATGATATTCTTCGGTGCAAAAGGCAAAACTGACCCTAAAACCTTTCTCTCCACTAAACCACTCCTAAGACCCAAACCACATCCATGTCAGTTCAGCTGTTAAACTGAGCTGTGAGATGAACGTGTGGATAGATATTTCATCTTTCTGTAGGAATAATGTGTCGCTCACCTGAAAACGATCACAGCAAGCGCTGAAGCCGATCTGCTGCAGCCACGTCTGCACCTCACAGGTTTTCCAGTTGGGCACGCTTGACAGGATTCGTTTCGGTACTTCCTCTCCCATCATGCTCAGGGCCCGCTTAGCGAGGGCACAGACTGTGGCATTGCTGGAGTACATGACGATTCTTTTGAGGCTCTGCACAGCACCAATCTCTTGAAATATCTGAAAAGGAAGGAGAAATTGGGAATCAGCCACAATATATTTCAATTTTAAGTGAAATAGCCACCTGCCACAACAACAAGGCTTAAAAGGATCAGTCAACGCTAAAACATACATCTCTTCATAAAATAAAGGCAAATAATTAACGTGAGAATTTTTATCAAATTTTACTTTCCAATTAAGGTGAGGTTGTTTTGAACTGTTATCCAACTTATACCTGTCGAGTCATGCTAAATACAAGGAGTCATGCTAAATAAAGCTCAGTTATTCAGCTTTTCTTAAGTACTGCTAAATGGTGATTTCAATCAGTAATGTTTCTTAACAACATTAAAATTGCATAAGACCCTGAAGCACACGGAATTTGTTTGCAGGTTTTGCCTCTGTAGGAGGAAGATGAGGCTACTCTTGTCCAGGCTGAACTGAAGAAGCAGCAGAGCCCTTCTTGTGGAAAAACCTGAACTGCTTTCTCTGCTTTTTCAGGCACACTTCCTGCAGATCTTTGTTCTTTTTTATGAGGTCTGTCTTCTCTCTGAAAAGTTCTTCATGCTGCACTTACACCTTCTTACACCTTCTCTCCAGTTCTTCCAAGGTTTCCTGCTTTTCTTCACGTTTTTCTCGCAGTTCTTTGTTTTCCTCTTCCACGTCCTTTTTTGTTCTTCTTTCTTTTAATGGATTGTTTGTAATGCCTCATGTCTCTGCTGTAGTTCTTGAAGTAAAGACTTCATGTCTTTCTGAGATTTGTCCTCCTCAAACATTACACGCAAATCTTCATTGTTTTTCTCTGATACTTGAAGCTTGCACACGATTTGTTGGTATACTGCTTCCTTTTGTTCCTTCTCATTCAGCAATGGTGTATTTCTTCTCAGTGCATTGTCTATCTTTCTCTGTGGCTTGGAGCTTGGATTGCATCTCTTCATGTGCTGCTTCCATAAAAGCTCCTTCTGCTCCTTCTCAGAACTTCGTCGAACATCACTTGCAGGCCTTCATTTTTTCTCCATGTCTTGGAACTTGCATTTTCTCTGCTCTTCATTTTCTTTCAACATTTCTGTAATTTGTTGCATTATTCCTCTTTCATTTGTTTAATCCTGATCTTCAGGTCTTGTTTCTTCTTGCATAAATGTTCTAAAGCTTTTCTGAGGGCTATAAATACACCCAGGTGAGCAGTGCTGGGATCTTCCCTTTGGCTTGAGTGGTGCTGTGTCTGAGACATTTTGGGCACCTTGATACAATAACTCTGTAGAGGATTTAGATGTTAGTAATATTTGTTAAGTAATGTTTTAATGAATATGTTGAATTGTTAATTTATTTTATCAATTTATAATCAGTTTTGATTCAAATATCTATAAAATCCATGCACTTCATTAATCTAAAAAATAAATACTATGTGTCAGCCACTGGAAGTATTATTTATTATTTTATGCATCTGATGTCTTTCCAACTCATTAAATAAGAGAGACAGTTTTACCTTTGTGTTGCGCTGACGGGACTTGATGCTGGCCTCAACACACAGGTAAAAGGCTGCAATGCACTTTCCCTCCACTCTCGTGCCATCCAGTAACGGCAAAAGTTGCTGCAGGTCAGATGCGGTCCTTCCCTGCATGCTGTCTGCACTGTCCAGTAAACTGCGGGCAAAGTCCTCTGGATCCAGAGATGCGATGAACGGCTCCACTAGCTCCAAGGTCCCTGATTTCACCACCTCTTTCTCAATTTCTCTGTTTGCAGCTAACACAGTTACAGCCAAGCAGGCATAGAAACGAATGAGTTCATCCTCTTTGGAAAAGGCCAGTGGGAAGAGCCACTCAGCTGCCCGTTTCTCGATCATCCAGCGCTGGCAGCAGTGGCCTCCATACATCGCACAGTTAGCCAGTGCCACGGCACAGTGACGCAGAACAGTGGGGTCCGTACCTCGGCACCAGAAGAGGAGGGTGTCCAGGGCGCCGTTGGTGATGAGGTGGATAGACGTCTCCTCGGTGTGTTTGAACATGTGCTCGAGGATGCCCGAGACGCTCCGAGCCAGCTGAGCATCTTCCTGCTGACGAGTCAGGTTGAGGATGACCCCCAGACCTATGCGAGCCACGTAATCCCTGTAGACAAATTTGGAAGATGGTAACAAACACTAAATACAGACTTCATACAGTCTGGGAGACTGAGTGACAGCACTTCAGCAGCCAAGAAATTGAAGTTCATACCCACCATCCCACATTCTTTATTACTAATTAACAGAAAAATTGATCAGAGTTTATTTACACAGCTAACACCCATATTTGACAACTGTTAGAATTTATATTATGGCATGAACCAATCGGTTAACTAAAGAGAAACGACAGTCTCTCATTGTTTAAAGAACTGAATGTCAGCCAGTCTGCAAAATTGCTAAAATTTTGAATGTGTCCCAAAGTACAGTCGCAAAAACCATCAAGCACTACAACGAAACTGGCTCACATGAAGGAAAGGAAGAACAAGAGTCACCTCTGCTGCTGAGGATAAATTCATCATCATCGCCAGCCTCAAAAAGTTAACAGCACCTCAGATTAGAGTCCAGATAAATTCCACACAGAGTTCCAGTAGCAGACACATCTCTACATCAACTGTTCCGCCACAAATCAGGCCTTTTCGATCAAATAGCTGATAAGAAACCACTACTAAGGAAAGCAACAAGCAGAAGAGATTTGTTTGAGGCAAGAAACACAACGAATGGACAATAGACCAGGGGAAATCTGTGCTTTGATATGATGAGTCCAAATTTTGAGATTTTTGGTTCCACCTGCCATGTCTTTGTGCGGCACAGAAAAGGTGAACAGATGGTTTCTACATGCGTGGTTCAAACCATGGAGCAAGGAGGAGGAGGTGTGATGGCGTGGGGGTGCTTTGCTGGTGACACTGTTGGGGATTCGAACCAGCATGGCTTCCACAGCATCCTGTAGTGACATGCCATTCAATCCGGTTTGCATTTAGCTGGACCAATGACCCCAAACACACCTCCAAGTTGTGTAAGGGCTATTTGACCAAGAAGGAGAGTGATGGCCTGGCCTCCACAGTCACCTGACCTAAACCCAATCGAGATGGTTTGGGATGAGATGGACTAGCAAAAGGGATGAGACAGAAGGCGAAAGTGCCAACAAATCCTCCGCATCTCTGGGAACTCCTTCACAACTGTTGGAAAATAATTTCAGGTGACTACCTCATGAAGCTCATCAATAGAGTGCCAAGAGTGTGCAAAGCGGTATTTAAATGCAAAGGGTGGCTATTTTGAAGAATCTAGACTATAAAGCATGCTTTCAGTTATTTTACACTTTTTTTTTACTACATAATTCCATATGTGTTCATTCATTCATTGTTTTGATTCCTTCAGTGAGAATCTACAATGTAAATAGTCATGAAAACAAAGAAAAAAACAATAAAATGAGAAGTTGTGTCCAAACTTTTGACTGGTAGTGTACGTCAGTGTGAATTCAGTCTATTATAGCTTTTGACGTCTGTTTAAGTAAAATTTGTTGTTTCAAACTGCAACATTACATGTTATTTCTGTGACAGGTGTACATAAGAAACGCTGCATGGTTTTAAAAATATTCAGCAGACAGATCTCAGTACATGCAGGTAGAAGGGAATCACTTAAAAAAATTACCAATAATCATCCCACAGATGTAATATTATCTACAGCTACTCTTAGTACCATTGATGTTAAGTTAGACTCTTTTTCTCTAATTGATCTTTCTGAGTTAACTTCAATAATTACTTCCTCCAAACCATCAACGTGTCTTTTAGACCCCATTCCTACAAAACTGCTCAAAGAAGTCCTGCCATTAATTAATTCTTCGATCTTAAATATGATCAACCTATCTCTAATAATCGGCTATGTACCACAGGCCTTCAAGCTGGCTGTAGTTAAACCTTTACTCAAAAAGCCATCTCTAGACCCAGCAGTCTTAGCTAATTATAGGCCAATCTCCAACCTTCCTTTCATATCAAAAATCCTTGAAAGAGTAGTTGTCAAACAGCTAACAGATCATCTGCAGAGGAATGGTTTATTTGAAGAGTTTCAGTCAGGTTTCAGAGCTCACAGCACAGAAACAGCTTTAGTGAAGGTTACAAATGATCTTCTTATGGCCTCTGACAGTGGACTCATCTCTGTGCTTGTCCTGCTAGACCTTAGTGCAGCATTCGATACTGTTGACCATAATATCCTATTAGAGCGATTAGAACATGCTGTAGGTATTACAGGTACTGCCTGCAGTGGTTTGTATCATATCTATCTAATAGACTCCAGTTTGTGCATGTAAATGGAGAGTCCTCTTCACACACTGAGGTTAATTATGGAGTTCCACAGGGTTCAGTGCTAGGACCAATTCTGTTTACATTATACATGCTTCCCTTAGGCAGATCATTAGAAGACATAGCATACATTTTCACTGCTATGCAGATGACACCCAGCTCTATCTGTCCATGAAGCCAGATAACACACACCAATTAGTTAAACTGCAGGAATGTCTTAAAGACATAAAGACCTGGATGGCCGCTAACTTTCTGCTTCTTAATTCAGATAAAACTGAGGTTATTGTACTCGGCCCTGAAAAGTCCTAGAAATATGGTATCTAACCAGATTCTTACTCTGGATGGCATTACCTTGGCCTCCAGTAACGCTGTGAGGAACCTTGGAGTCATTTTTGACCAGGACATGTCCTTCAACGCACATATTAAACAAATATGTAAGACTGCTTTCTTCCATTTGCGCAACATCTCTAAAGATTAGAAATATCCTGTCTCAGAGTGACGCTGAAAAACTAGTTCATGCATTTATTACTTCCAGGCTGGACGTACTGTAATTCATTATTATCAGGAATGTCCAAAAAACTCACTGAAAAGCCTTCAGCTAATCCAAAATGCTGCAGCAAGAGTCACTGACAGGGACTAGAAAGAGAGAGCATATTTCTCCTGTTTTGGCTTCCCTTCATTGGCTTCCTGTTAAATCCAGAATTGAATTCAAAATCCTGCTCCTCACATACAAGGTCTTAAATAATCAGGCCCCATCTTATCTTAATGACCTTGTAGTACCATATCACCCTATTAGAGCACTTCGCTCTCGCTCTGCAGGCCTACTTGTTGTTCCTAGAGTATTTAAAAGTAGAATGGGAGGAGAGCCTTCAGTTTTCAGGCCCCTCTTCTGTGGAACCAGCTTCCAGTTTGGATTCAGGAGACAGACACTATCTCTACTTTCAAGATTAGGCTTAAAACTTTCCTTTTTGCTAAAGCATATAGTTAGGGCTGGACCAGGTGACCCTGAATCCTCCCTTAGTTATGCTGCAATAGACGTAGGCTGCCGGGGGATTCCCATGATGCATCAAAGCGTTTACATATCCAGTCATCCACCCATTCACGCACACATTTACACACTGGTGATGGCAAGCTACATTGTAGCCACAGCCACCCTGGGGCGCACTGACAGAGGCGAGGCTGCCGGACACTGGCGCCACCGGGCCCTCTGACCACCACCAGTAGGCAACGGGTGAAGTGATCTTGCCCAAGGACACAACACCGAGACTGTCCAAGCCGGGGCTGAACCGGCAACCTTCCGATTACAAGGCGAACTCCCAACTCTTGAGCCACGATCAACATAAATATGCATGCAATAGACGTAGGCTGCCGGGGGATTCCCATGATGCATTGAGTTTTTCTCTTTCCAGTCACCTTTCTCACTCACTATGTATTAACAGACCTCTCTGCATTGAATCATATCTGTTATTAACCTCTGTCTCTCTTCCACAGCATGTCTTTATCCTGTCTTCCTTCTCTCACCCCAACCGGTCGCAGCAGATGGCCCCGCCCCTCCCTGAGCCTGGTTCTGCCGGAGGTTTCTTCCTGTTAAAAGGGAGTTTTTCCTTCCCACTGTCGCCAAAGTGCTTGCTCATAGGGGGTCATATGATTGTTGGGTTTTTCTCTGTATTTATTGTAGGATCTACCTTACAATATAAAGGCTTGTGGCGTCTCTTGTTGTGATTTGGCGCTATATAAATAAAATTGAATTGAATTGAATTGAACTTACAACTTGGTTAATGCAACTAAAAGTGTGCCCTGGGGTTCAGTTGAAAGAACCCTTTCACTGTAATGATGATAACAAGGTGGATGGACTGCTCTGCACATACTCCGACCCAGCCTCTCCCTCAGCTGCAATCAGCTGCTAGTACATTACAGCACAACATGTTTGAAATCCTGACGACACCGAACTGATGATCTTCTCAAATGCAAACTCAAAACCACTGAACCGTATCACTGCAGTCCTGGGCTGTGACTCAGTATCTCAGTATAAGTGCTTAAGAATTATAATAGATGACTCACTCTCTTTTACACCTCACTTTCAGCAGCTGTCTGTATTTTGAGGCAACAAAGAGACTTGTTGCTCCCCCGTCATATCAGAGTTGTTATATGCATTTGTATAATGCCTGCAAGGAAGTTCCTTCAACTAAAACTTCATACGATTCCAGGTGAATATAACTGATCAGTTACTTCAGGCTGTAGAAACAGAGCAGAGGTGTCTGGCACAGCTTCATCTACTTTCAAACTGCATGGAGACGCTCCAGCAACACTTGTACTATAAAAATGAACTTTATCGCTTGACTGACGCGTTTCGGCTTGTAGTTTTCATCTGGATCTGGAGAGTAATCATCTGGATCGTGGATGCCAAGCAGTAAAGTTGTTCTTTATGCTACAAGTGTTGAGCTTCACCTTCTTCATGCTGCAAATATTTGACCACCCCTGTGTTCTGGCCCCAGACGCTGACGTTTAAATTGATGACTTGGAAATGTACTACACTTATTTTGTGTATTTTTGCTGAGCACTCATTTCTGAAACTGTACTGCTGCCAGTCTTGGCCAGCTTGCTTGTGAAAAGGAGAGTAATAATCTCAAGAGTCACATTAACCCCACTAAATAAAGGTTCAGTAAATAAAGATCACATTTTATAATCATTTACTAAGTGATTACTAGAATACTCAGACAAATATGGAGACACACAAACACAAATACTGCACTACCCGCAGAAGTGTTTAAACTTTATGTCTAAGTACAAGAACAGACTGCAATGTAGTACAGTCTACTGCGGTCCTGCACCGCATCACACCGTTACACCATACCTGTTCTCTGAGATCAGTATCTGCTCCAGCAGTTTTGCAGACTCGTAAGTTATCTCCACAGCAGGCAACTGCTGGAGCTGAAGCAGCAGCTCCAGGCCTCCATGCAGCCGGATCCTGTTGCAGATCTCCTCGGCCACTTGACGACCCACGGTAGGTAAAACCCAGGCCTCCTCCACCAGCTGGAAGATCTCCGCGATAGCTCTGCGGGTCTCATCTGAATTCGATGTTTCCCTGGATGACTTCAGCCTACTGATGGCGGAGCGCAGGGCGGGAAGTGACGTGTCCAAAACCGCCTGGACGTCGGCATTGATCCCCGGAGAGATGGCCCTGGGGTCGCATGCGGAGCCGCTCCTCCCTCTCTGCAGCCGGCTGACGTAATCCGGGACTGTGAGCCGGTCAGAGCTGAACATGATGTAGAAATGTCGGTAGAGCCTCCACAAGAAGAGCGTCAGGGAGAAAAGCATCTACCGGCACAAACAATGTGATCGATCTGGATGCGCACTGCTAGAAGCAGCACTGCTGTGTTCACTTAAGGCCTGTGATCCGTGTTCAGCCTACTGGCCGCCCTGTAAATAAAGCCAACTCCTGCAGAAAAAGCAAGGCCTCGGTTATTAATCAAAAGTGACAGCTTTCACCAAATCGCACATCACCTCTCTCTGGGTGTCATACGCGCCAGTAAGCCATTAAAGACGTCTGAGCAGATCAGCGGGTATTTACGCTTCACAGTTGCTGCTTTGTCTCTCTCAGTAGATGTGTTAGTGGGCACAATTTGTAGAAGTGTCCGTAAAGCGCACAAGACCTCGAACCGAAACGCTGGGAAGCACGGCCTGCTCGTTTTGCTAAGAAGAATAACAATAAACTATTGTTGTCTGTATTCTCGCTCGCATTCATTCACTGAGGCTTGGCTAACAAAGAAGACTTTTAGTTCTCATAGTTTCCCTTCCAACGCATCCAGCGCGCTGCCGCGGATTGTTTTCTCCAAAAATATCAAAAGTAACGCTCGTGCCCTGCGGAAGTTCCTCGCCTGACATCCTTTGGTCAGCATCCGCAGGCTGCCTGCATCTTCAAGGCTTCGCACCGCCCACCGGCCCCGGATATGTTATCAGTGATGTACAGTGAAAGAAGCAGCACCGCTCCTCATCATCTCTCAACTCCCTGCATCATAGCCGGTCAGAGCATGCGCAAGGGCGTTTGAAACACTGCAGGCCCTCTGTATATGTGGAGGGCCAGGAGTGGCGAAATGAATGAATTAAATACACCGTTAAATAATTAATTAAATATGTCGATAATTAATTGAAATTTGAAGTAATTAATTAAAGAAATATTTAAATAATTAATAAAATGCCCATTCATTTCATTTAAAACATTAAATATATACTTTTTATTTATTTCAAATTTTATTTAATTAATGACACATTAATTAAAAATTGCTTAATTGTATATTTGATTAATTGATTTTTGACAAATTTGATTAATTATTTATTTATTTCTTATTTTAATTAATTATTGAACCGTTTAATTAATTACTTAATGATGTATTTATTTAATTCATTTTGGCAGTTCTTACCCTGTGGCTGTCTTGACGAATTCGTTTTACCTGTCAGCCTCACCCATCAAACTCAGGGGGCGGGGTTAACGCTGTTCAAGTCAAAGCCATTGCTTTGGCCTGGTGGCCATTCTTTTGGGCATTTATCCACGCCAACAACCAGCATGTGGAAACTAACTAAACTGTACTTTGAAATACCATGTTTTTGTCTCACCAAATGCACTTTTATTATTTATTTTTTTTAGCCGAGAATGTAGTGGTTTAATCTTCAGATATCTGGTCGGTTTGTCAAGATAGAGCCTATTTGCAAAAGTTCTTCGATGATTTCGGAGATGTCTGCCCAGCCCAGACTCACAGCAAAGCATGTGATAGACCTGTTCCCCTCATAAGCGCTTGAGCTGTTATACCACCGACAAAGCTCAGGTCCTGGTACACAACTGTCATAACCCAGAGTTTCCCAGCTCACATGAAAGTGTTGGCATCAAACTAACCTAACGGTCATCTATGACTCTAATTCACAGGTCATATCAATATTCTTTTACAGAAAATTATTCTCATTACTATCAACTATTCCAGAGACTCGAAAATCTAAAGCATAAAGAATATAAAAATATACCAGTCTGAGACCACACTGTTGTAAAAGAGATGAAGGCTTTAATTTGTCGCAGATCAGATTCATGATGCGTGTTCTGTGGTATCTGCATTTCCATCAGCGTAAGACTTGCTAATTAAGACCGCTAATTAGCAGCAGGTTAGAATCAAGTATAATAACATTTATAGGCTACATTTAATAAATCACCAAATTAATACCTGCATGCTCCCGTGACAATGCCAGGCACCATGCTCATTTACAACACATTCCTCCATCATCCCCCCGTTTAAAACACTTAAATCGTGCTGTAAATAAAAGACTGAGTGAAAACGTGGAAATTTGAATTCGCGTACACCACAATACTGAAATAAACAGCCTATTACTGAAATACACGTGCAATATAATAAACTGTGATATAAATGTGGAGGTGCTGTTAACATGTTTAGTTATAAAACACACCTCCTTGCCTTTAGTCTCATTCATGAGCATTATTAATTGTCTTCTAACATCCAGGGTCAAGAAGGGGCAAACATCTGCCACGACCAGCTGGGGGTGAAGGGAGGAAGACAAGACAAAAGACACACTGTGGATGAGAGCCAGAGATTAATAATAGCTAATAACCAAATGCAGAGTGGTGTATAAAAGTGTTAAAAGGATATGTGTATGTGGCGGAGGTGTGGTCCCGGGCGCGGCTGCAGGGGTGGAGTGGTGCAGTGGGCTCAACGGGGCGGTGCTGGAAATGCCGGTGAGAACAGCTGATGGCGATTTGGACTGATAATGGTTTCCTTCCCTTTTTATAGTGAGACGGAGAGGAGCGGAGGGAGAGGGAAATCAGCTGGGACCGACAGCTGTCAGACTGTGTTCATATCATAACCTGGGAAAACTATAAATAAATGTGGAAGCTGGTGATAAAGACCTGTGTGTGTGTGTACCTGTGTATAGTGCATTTCACAGTGTATAGTTGCTTACAGTGAAAATATCTCTAATTAATATATTGCTGTTCATAATTTAATGCCAAAAATTCCTATTTAGCAAGAGACCAGATTATTGATACATTTTTCATTTTTAAAGCTACAAGGAATCCCTGAAAGATGCTTTTCACCATTTTTTCATCAGAAAAGGCCTTTAAAGTTATTATCAGCCAGAGTAGAATATCTGTCTTTAGAATATTTAGAGTCAATGTTGATTTCAATAATTGAAATCTGTAAAAATGACCACAAACTACTTAAAATGTACAAACATCTTTGGTCAGAGGTCAAACAGTAATCCACACACCCACCCCATTGATCTTTTCCCCCTCTCAGTCTGTGTTTATTTGTCCGAGTAGACAGAAGTCTGCAAATAAGGTTCAAGTGAATGAGGAGGTGGGGTGACTGGCACATGCTTCCAATGATAGGGAGCACACAGGCCTTCATTATTTCCTCAGTCTGTCCTCGGACACAGAGGAGGCAACATGGACCTGTGGGCCGTGCTGCTGCTCGCTCTGCTCTCTGACACTTTGGCTTCAGACGGTGAGTCTAACAAAATCTACTTTTGACTTCATAGAGTAGCTTTGTGCTCTGTTCAGGACCCTGCTTCAGATCTGATTTGGGACCTATTGCGTACAAATTTGGGTGCTAAAAGTTGAATTATGTTCATTAACTGTTGTATTAAAATGTCTGACGCATAAACTTTGAGGCACTAACAAACAATTTGCTTAACAAGTAGACATATTTATTATTGTCAGTACAGCTAATAAAAAACAATTCATTTGATTATTTTCATAATAAATTAATTATTTTGTTTCCAAAATGTTGTTAAATATGTGGAAAAATGAGTAAAGTCTTTCGAGCACTTTGTTAAATCTACAAAACTGTAATCATTTTGAATTATTACAACTGTCTTTTAATATATTGCCTAATTCACTGTAAGATTGAGTTTTTGATATCCCATGAGTCTGTGCCGCTGGCATGCAGTCAAAGCCTCATGGGAGCTGTAATCAAATTTACGTTTATTAACCAAAGGAGGAAATGAATTTTGTTCTGAGGTACAAACAGCGGAGAGAGGGAATGACTGAAGCATGTTGTTTTATCTCCAGAGTCATGTTTGGACCGCTGCGAAAATGGCTTTGACGCCCGGAAGAAGTGCCAGTGTGACTCCATGTGCAAGTACTACAAAAGCTGCTGCTCTGACTTTGAATCCACCTGCAATATGATGAGTAAGAAACCTCCCTGCTCATTGGTTCATTCATTCTGTTAAGAACTCACAGGTCAAAAATGGATGTTGACATTTCTCTCACACCCCCCTCAGCTCGCGGAGACACATTTCAGTTTGCAGAAGACGATTATTACGATGGGCAATCTGAGAGCACGCCTCAGCCCACACGTCGTTCAGCACGCAACCAGCTGAGGCCTACACAACCGCCGGACTTCAATCCCAGAGCGCAAGAACGCCCTGAGACCACGCTGGAAATGACCAGACCGACCAGACTGAGAGTCTCTAACATCCCGCCGACACGTGCGACACACCCAGACACCCACACATTGGAGGACTCCATCACGACCAGCGCAGCAACCGAGGTGACCACAGTTCCTGCCACAGCAGCCACCACCGTGGCCCCTGACCCAGATGCTGAGGTCTGCAGTGGCAGACCTTTTGACGCCTTCATGCAGATCAAAAATGGCTCCATCTATGCTTTCAGAGGTCAGTGAGTGAATTCATCTGTTACAAGACAACCTTTCAGGCTCTGTCATGGTCTCGCTCATGTTTGAAAGTAACAAATAAAACAGCATGATCGCTCTGGCTTTGTTTTCCAGGGGAGTACTTCTTTGAACTTGACCAGAAGGCAGTGCTCCCTGGTTATCCAAAGCTCATTAAGGATGTGTGGGGCATCAGCGGGTCCATTGATGCTGCGTTCACCCGCATCAACTGTCAGGGGAAGACCTACATCTTTAAGGTGGAACCAAAACAAATCAAATCCAATTATCTTTGTAATTTTGATCACTTTAATTGTTTGCAACTCTCCAAAGAAATCAAAAGCTCTAAGAGAACAAAAATAATAATTCAACAATAGAAAAAAAAAGATAATTCAACACAACAATAAAGTACTGTTGGGCGAGGAGCCATATTTGGTGACTTAAGTGGACATGAAAATTGGCCTCCTCGTGACTCACTGGGAGGTTGTAGAAACACATGGATTTCTCCCAGCTAATCAGCAAAGATCAGCTTATGTGACATTATTGCATCTGACCAATCATTAAAGGCCTGGAACATTTTAAACTTCCAATCAAATTCTTCCTGAATTTAGGAAATTGGCTTTCCCCCGTACCTACTCCCACACTTGTGGTTAAAGCATTAAAACTAACAGGGGTTGGCAGGGCTGCACTCTGATATGTGTGTTATATTTATGAAAATTGCCAGTGTGAAACAAGGAAAATGTTCAAAAATAAATCCTCCTTTAAATATGTATTTTATTCTTATAGTCTTTTGTAGAAAAAAAATGCTCTAAATGTGTGAGGAACCATATATGATAACTTCAGTGACTTTGCACTATAAAAAAGTAAAAAAAAAACTTTGAAAAAAGTTTGCTTTTTTAATTTCCTCCAATAACACTCAAATTTTCCATTTCCATGTATTTCAATGACTGCCTTATAAAGGGCAAAGCCAATATTGGAAACATTATGTCATAGTTTAGGTTTAAAAGTATTTTAAAAAGCTAATCTACTACAAATTTGATGTTTACCCATGTAGGGAAACAAGTACTGGAGGTTTGACAATGGCGTGCTGGATGATGATTATCCCCGATACATAAACGTTGGCTTTGACCGGATTCCCGATCATGTGGACGCAGCGTTTGCCCTTCCTGCCCACAGCCACCACGGAAAAGAGAAGGTCTATTTTTTCAAAGGTACAACCAGACGCTTTGGTTTGCATACATCTCCAGCTGTTCCTGTAGTACTGAACATCAGTGGCTCATCATACCATCCTTTCTGCAGGTGACCAGTATTATGTGTATGAGTTTTTGCACCAGCCATCTCATGAGGAGTGCATCAAAATGTCTGAGAGCTCTCCGTCCACTCCCTTCAGGCGCTACACTGATGTGTACTACAACAACTATGAGCGTTTCTTCGGCGAGCTCTTCTCTGACCGTGAGTTGTGCAGTTATAGACCTATTTGTGCAGACAGGAGTCACACGTGTGTGTGGTTTAACTTATTTTTAATCTTCTGCAGTGCCTCAGCATCATAGTAAGCACCACTTTATTAACAAGGACTGGAAGGGTCTCAGGTCTCCAGTGGATGCTGCCATGGCGGGCAGAATCTACATCAGTCCTTGGAGGTCGACGCGACGCCGCTACAACAGCCAGCAAGACCAGCAGTGGGACCAGCAGTGGGACCAGCAGTGGAACCAGCAGTGGGACCAGCAGTGGAACCAGCAGTGGAACCAGCAGTGGGACCAGCAGTGGAACCAGCAGTGGGGTCGGCGGAGACAAAATCGTTCACCCTCCTGGGGCTCCTTTGCTGAGCAGGGAATGAACATGGGGCGGGAATTTGCTGAAAGAGGGATGGAAATGGGTATGAGACTGGCAGAGAGGAGGATGGAAATGGCAGAGAGGCTGGGACAAGGCTGGGACAGACGGTGGGATCAAGACTGGGACCAGGACAGACGGAGAGATCGTTATGGCCAGAACAACAGAGGCAACTATGACTCCAGAGATGACCGATACGGCTACGACTTCCAAAGGGAGATGCCCATACAGACCGTCTACTTCTTCAAAGAAGGTAACAGATTCAGAATGGGACGCACCGTATCAAACAATGTTTCTGAAAATGTATTCAATCATTCATTTCCACTGCCTTACAACATGTGGTTAATTGGTTATTTTGTAATTCATAGTAATATAAATTAGAAAAGCAGCCAAGCATTGCATTTAAAAAGAACAGTTTAACATTTTCTTTGTTAAATTAAGCAACAGTTTGTAGATTTCAGTCCATATTGACATGATAGCATCACACAGTTGCTGCAGTTTTATCGGCTGCACATCCACCACATCCCAAAGGTTCTCTCCTGGAGATCTCGTGGCTGTGGTCATTTGAGTGCAGTGAACTCGTTGTTATATTTAAGGAACAAGTTTGAAATGATCTGAGCTTTGTGGCATGGTCTGCTATCCTGCTGGAACCAGCAATCAGAAGATGGGTTTGCTGTGGCCATAAAGGGATGGACATGGTCAGCATTAATACTCAGGTAGGCGGTGTTTGAGAGGCCCAACGTAAGCAAAGACACCACCACCACCCTGAACTGCTGGGAAAAGGCAGGATGGATCCATGTTGTTTTTTCTGACCCGGCTATCTGAATGTTTCAGACTAGGCAACGTTTACCCAAGCTTCTATTAGCCTCAGTTTCCTGTTTTTAGCTGGCTGAAGTGGCATCCAGTGCGGTCTTCTGCTGCAGTAGTTCATCTGCTTCAAAGGGCTGAGCGTTCAGTGATGCTCTTCTGCATACCTTGGCTGTAAAGAGTGCCTTTTTTGAGTTACTGTTGTCTTCCAATCAGCTCGAAGCACTTTGGCTATTCTCCTCTTTCCGCTGACATTAACAAAACATTTCACACAGAAAATGCCACTTCCACACTCCAACACTCCATCTGTTTGTGGCAGAGGGCTGCCCCTCCCTGAGCCTGGTTCTGCCAGAGGTTTCTTCCTGTTAAAATTGAGTTTTTCCTTCCCACTGTTACCAAATGCTTCCTCACTGGGGGCTGTCTAATTTTGGGGGTTTTCTGTGTTTTGCTGTAGGGTCTGTACAATTTAAAGCACCTTGAGGTGACTAACAACCATGCGACAGTCAAAAAGAACCTAAATCACCTTTCTTCACCATTCTACCCCTAACTAATGAAGTTATCAGTGAGTGTACATTAATCATTACAAAGTCAGCTAGAGCAGAAGGAAAGAGAAAAGGCATATCCCATGAGTTACTGTCTTTATTTCAAGGTTTCCTGGGAACTTTAATCAAATCAAATCCATTTTAAGGAAGATGAGGATGTTAAAGAAAAAGAATATCTCACGCTCACAGCAAAAGCAGGGCCGTTATTAACAGCAATGCTTATGAAGGCTAGTACAATAATGGTTAAATGACTAAATAACAATGATGATTTTATCATTGTTCAAATATTGTGTGTTTGGTCTTCACACTGCTGGCACATAAACTAAGAGCTGAGTCACAGCTGTAGACGGCAGACAGCTGGGGGAGGCAACAGGAACTAACGTGCTCGGCTCTCTCTCACCACACACTAGTTTCATTACATTTTAATGCTGTATATAGTTCATACAGCAAAAAACAGATGCCTAACATTGTTTCTGTTTTATACTTTACTCCAAGTGCATTTCTGTTTGTAATCTTTACGTCATATTCAGTGTCATTCTGGTTTTTGTTTAACCACTACTCCACACACTATAATAATAGTATAGTATGTGTACAAAGCAGACAATATGAATACTAACTGTGACTGGTAAGCATGTGTTGAGTGAGTTTTTGTGTTTTCTAGATAAATACTACAGAGTGGATATCAGGACTAAGAGAGTTGATCCTGCTGTTCCTCCGTACCCCAGATCCATCGCCAAGTACTGGCTCGGCTGTTCGGACACCCCTGGAGCAGAGAAGAAGTAGTTTCCAGAATTTTAGTTTGTTATTTTGATCAGTGTAACCCAGTTAGCGTGTAATAGAGCTGTTGTTTTTACTGCAGTAGGCAGTGGTAGGGGTTAAAAGTGTCGAACATGCGCAGTGTAACACACAGCTAGCTGACTTCAGCAAATATTGGTGTATCGGTGAGAGTCCACATGCAGCTTAGGGCCAAAGTTCAGCTGGCTGACTTTCAGTCAGCTTTATTAAACGCAGCTAAAGTGAAAAACACATTTAACAGAGAGACCCAGAGACAGCAACGTTTATCCGTCTGAAAGCTAAACTCTGTTAATGATAATTAATCTGCAATTATTACTGTATTCATTACTTATAGTGTATTTTGAATAATGTATCTACAAAAGCCAAAGTGTTTATTGTCTTTTTATTAATCACGGTCATGTTTATACAGTGAAATAACAATACTATAAAATATTAACACAGACTTCAGGGGAGGTTTAATTCACCAGTGGTCACAAGCAGGGCAGCAATGTGTTTCTAACCCCACAGCAGTGTTCGTGCGCTGTGGACTCGCAGGAAACTTTAACATTGGGTCACAGAAGTATAAACATTTTTACAATTCCAGTTCTCTGACTGATTTATACGATAGAATAAACAACCCTGCCGGGCTTTTCCCTCATGTGTAAAGCATGTACTGATTCTGAGTGAATCGCGACTACAATCTGTTACAGCCTGTTCTTACCTGAGTTTCATCCAAGACTAATAAAATATCCACAGAGCAGCAGACTCAGACTTTCCTCACACTTAACTGAATCAATCAAATTAATCAAAAAGTTCATCACACTCATTTTATTATCTTCTGGGAACCCACCCAGATGTTCATCACTGCTTCTTTTTCCACAAACTTCCACTCTTTACTTCCATTTATCCTTTCTGACTATATAAGCACAACAGGTGCAGATATTACATCTGTCCATCCATCCATCATGGGGGTGCTGGAGCCAATCCCATGGATCGTCACACATTCACACTTTCAGCCTATTTAGATTCACTAATTAATCTAACATACATGTCTTTGGGCTGCGGGAGGGACTCAGAGTACCCAGAGAGAACAGAAAGGCCCCAAAACAGCCAATGGATTCAAACCCAGGACCCAGCTGATGTTGCTCCTAAAGCTGTTGGCTAATGAAAGTCTAAATGCAGGACTTTCACCCACGAGACTGTAAGTTTGTGCTAATGTAAAAGTAAATATTTTGATTTTTAGGCTTAGATTAAAATAATACTAAAAAGAGTAGTTTCAGTTTTCAGTTGCAGTTGTTTTTAGGTTAAACCAGAAACACTTGGTTACAGGTTTAGGGAAAATATGTTTAGTGAGTATTGAAAAGGCCTGAAGAAAAACTAAGTTGCAAAGATAAAAATTCATAACAGCATGATCGGTCAGTTCAGGGTCATGGTACTGGGGAAACATGGGTTACAGTGTGGGAACAACACCAAGGCAACAACGGACTGTGTAGCGTTCTTGTTAGAAAACACCCTATTTTCTTGTTCCATCTGTTGTTTGAAATTTCATTAACGGTTGCTATTTTTAAAATCACAATTTCTCTGTTATTTCAGTCATGTGAGCTGCAGCTGCACAAATCTCTCAGAGAAGCTTTCCCCATTGTTCAGTTATAACTGCAGGATAACAAACATGCGGCTGTTTTTCGATCAGTCCTGCTGACCCGTTTTCTCAGAGGTCACGAGTTTTTGATCTGGACATTTTCGTACCAGGGTTCATCAGTCATACTGACCGCCGCTCCTTCGTTGGTGATGATTTCAATGGGGCTTGCGCCATCTCCCACGGGTCTCAGAGTCCGGTAGGAGCTCTCAATTTGTTCTTCATGATGCGGGGCAGCGTGCTGCCTTTCGTCTCCTTCGGCCTGCAGATTAGACCCCGAGTGTGCTGACGCCACTTCAGGCACGCTCTTTAAAATGGACGACAGCGGCCGTTTTGGAGTGCCACTCTCTGTTGGCAGTGTACCATTCGATCCAGCTGCATCAGAGGAGTTGTGGGAGGAGTGCTTCCTCCTGATTGGCTTACAAACTCCAGCCTCCCTTGTAGACGGTCCTCCCTGCTCCCAAACAGCCGCCCGAGCTCCCAGCTTCTTCCTGGGTGGTTTGATGATGCCTTCACTCCCCTTCAGCTTAGGCCTGTCAGACTCCTGCTCTTTTTGCCTCTGGAGGCTGCCCAGTCTTCGCAGCATCGCCTGAACGGGGCCCTCAGAGCTCGGCTCTGTTTTTGTGATGGGCTTACCCGCCTTACCCACCGTCACATACACAGTGGTGACCTTATGAGAGCCCCCTTCTTGAGCATCAGAGGCGGACGATGTCCCTTTATGAGCAGCTGTGTTAGACATAGTCCGTCTCCGTCCTGATGCTCCAGGAACCTGCAGGGTGGACCTTGATGGGGTTCTGTCTACTTCCTGGTCAGCCTCCTCACAGTTTAACTCCTGACTGTCGGTCACATCCACTCCATCTTTCTCCTTCTCGCCCTCAAGTCCGTTCCCCTCCCCAGTTCTAGCTGTGCTTCCCTGACTTTGCAGGGCCGATAGCATCAAAACCCCCCAGGATGATTTGGGTTTGCTGCGAGGGAGAGCACAAGGGTCCTGAGCAGAGCCACGCCTCTCTTTGGGGCTGAAGCGGGTGCCTTCTGCAAATGAGACGGATGGCCGCTTGGCCTTGGCAATGCTGGAGGTGCGAGGGATGTTAAAGGGTGAGGAGATGTCCTCGCTGCTGAAGCCCGATGGGTCTAAGAACATGTTACACTTTGAGCTCATCTCCTGGAACTCACCGCCCGCCACAGCCGGGATGTCTAACAGAAACAGAGCAAAACATCAACCAGTGCCAGAAAGAGTTTTTAAAAGTGGCAGTTCTACCTTGCACCAAAAGAGGGCACTATAAACTTTGTTAACTGGTGAACTTTATTTTTGCCTCTACCTTCCATTGGAGGGACGCAGTAAAGAGCCTCTCCCGTCTCCTCATCGCTGTCGAAGGACGATCCCTCCGTCACCCAGCCAGAGGAAGGAGGCTCAATGAAGCTGTGGTTGAAGGTCAGCTCAGGGTCATGGTGTGACACTGTGTGTGTTTACATGAGACACAGAAAGCAGATTAATTTAAAAAAGAATAATAATAATAGAACTAAATATCACAGCTTCTGGTCATAATTCATGCACACAGTAGACGTTTTAAAAGAATTCAAATCTTAATGATGATTAAAATAGTCTTTTTTGTACTTTTATGAAGTTTGTATACAATAGTTGCATTACACTGTGAGCACTGTGAGTGGCAAGACTGACCGGTGACACGAGGAAGGCCAGAGGACCAGGCAGAGATACACGGCAGGGCAGCGCCAATGTTTGCCAGGACGCTATAAACGTGATACTTCATCCGAACCAAGAAGCCGCCATCAGCTACAGTTGTACTACGACCAAAAGAAATCATGTAAAGTTATGTAGAATGATAAACGTAGCCTGCTTTCCATGTTTTACCGTCTATGCAAAGTGAAGATAAAATGCCTAAAAGAAAGGTAGCTGCTGACCTGTCTTTGTCTCTGTCACCAGCCGGGCGTCCTCCACAACACAAGCAGCAGCAAACTACAGCAAGAAGCAACAGGAGCAAAGGAACCAGCACACCCGCAAGCACAGCACCTCTGTAACCTGTCATTCAACACACACACAAACACAAACATGTAAGGGAAAGTACAAGACACACTAATGTACACATTTATACACAAAACTGACAGATAACTGAGTGGATGGATGGACGTACTGTTAGGACAGGCTCCGGTCACAGAGTCGCAGGCCACCCCCTCACCGCAGTCGCAGACAGAAGAACAGTTGAAGCCAAACCGGAGGGCAGGGCAGCTGTTGTTACAGCTGGAAACATCCATGAGTCACAGTGAGTAAGAAAGTTAAATCAAGATTTTATTTTAGTACTGGGTGAACACATAACGATGACGTACAAGCATCACAGAGAAGAAAGTTAAGGGGGCCACGTTTTCCATGTTTTAACCTACTAACCTCAGATCGTACACTCAGGGCAAGAGAAAGAGTGAAATCAGAAAAAACTGATCTTTAACTGATCTGGGAGTGCAGTTTAACTATTTAAAATCTTAACCTTTGATAAAAGCTGCATCTGCAACAGTAAGTCTATCCAACAGTAAGCAATGCTTTAATTTTCTCACCTCTCTCCCTGGAAGCCTGGCGCACAGACACATTTTCCTGTCACATGATGGCAGTTGCCATGAAAACAAGGACTACACGTCAAGAGGCAGGCGTCTCCAAACCTCCCGTTAAGGCAGCGCTCCTGACACCTGGACGAGGACAGAAAAACGAGGACAGAGATTACTAACACACTTACACTGTTGGCGGTACAAACTTTCCATCCTCTATAAGCAGACTGTTTTTGAGCTTAAGTGTAATAAGCAGTGCTCACGTTTTACCACATGGATCATTTTATTAATTTTGCATCTTTAGGCAACTTAATCCATAAGTTTTAACTCTTCCAAGCAACTCTTTGAATCCGTCATGTTCAAGAGACTGCAGTACAGTTGTAAGCAGTGAATAACTTGGACTTTTTAGCAGATTCATCTCTTTTTGTTAAACTCAAATCATCTCTTGTCTTCTGGGTCTGACTTTCTGATTATGTCTCTAGTCAGCGAAATGCGCTTTGACAGCCAACTCACAGATGTCAGAGCCTCCCACGAACAGCTGTGTGCACAAGTACGGAAGTGTTTTCAGTCCCCAGATCACACCACAGGATGACAATGGAGCTTCTGACAAAAATAACTATAATCTGTGACAGACAGACAATTTACTGATCGATTGATTTTTCAGTTTGAGCTAAAGCATATGAACCACACTGATCACAGGATGCTTCCTAAGATCAGTGAGGTGCAGGCCGCTGATCATTTTTATTCTTTTTTTTAAAATAACACAGTGATTAAGTAGCCAGTTATTACATTTTAGCATTTCTGTATATTTAGAACCCCAATTCCCAAAAAACTCAGAAGTAAAGATGGACAGAGGTTCAAAAAATTGAGCCATTAACTTGTGGAACAACTTCAGCTTTGACTAATTTTTTATCTACAATACAGAATCTGGAGAAATCTCTGTGTGCAAGGGACACTACCAAAAATCAAAACCCGTGATCTTCGAGCCTTCAGACAGCACTGCATTAAAAACAGACATGAGGGATGCTGCAAAGCCGTAAACATGACCCTTTCACAACATTTTTGAGATGTGTTGCTACCATCAAATCAAAAATGTGTAAATATTTTTCTTTAAATTGCATTTTCTATGTTCTACTGTGACTAAAATGTGAGTTTATGAGATCTGCAAATCATCACGCGTCCTACTTTTTTGGAAATAA